ACCAGTTAGATATTTAATCATTTACCTGTCTGTGGTAGATAGCAATGCTGTTTCAGTAGGCATCATGGTTAATTTAGTAGCCTTCCTTCTATTCAATACAGGGGTGTCAAACTTGATTTCATTGAGGGCCACATCAGGGTTGTGTTTGACCTCGGGGGGCCAAGGTGGGCGTGGCCATCTTAGCATCAGTCATGTCAGGGGCGCCTGTGGTGGCCCGAGTGCTCTGCCAGTGAAAACGGGCTCCCAATCTCTGTTTTCAGCTGGGACGGCCTCCTGCAACCCTCTGCCAACGAAAACAGAGCTCAGGAGGGCCTCATGGCAGAGGTTGCAGGAGGGTGTCCCAAACGAAAACAGAGATTGGGAGCCTGTTTTCACTGGCAGAGGCACTGCGGGCCAGTCCTTCGCTGTTTCCAAGGTGGCCCTGCGGGCCAGATCTAAACACCCTGTGGGCCAGATGAGTTTCACACCTCTGGTCTATACCTTTTGAAGGCATCTATGTGCCTAGGTGACACCGAAAGGCTTTTCTTAGTTCTTTTGCTGCAGGTCTTTTCTTCCAAGCCCCATGTCACCCTTTAGGTTATTCTGGGTGAATTGACTGGTGATTTTATTGCAAATCAAGGATGGGGAGAAATGAAAAGAGACGAGCTGGGTGGAAAAAGTAAAAACAGCCTCATGTACCGGAGGAGCTTCGGAAATGAGAACCTTGGATGAATTTCTGGTGCTATTGATTGGTAAACAGTTTATACATCCTGACATTCATAATCTTGGTGTGCTGCTGATAGTCCAGATTAATGGACCCAGGGGCTGTCCATCCGTCACTTCCCATTAATTACTAGAGAGGTGTTTTTTCCAGTGATTTACCTGACAGCGGGCCATGATGAATACCCCTAAACCAAGTGGGCAGTGATTAATCATGTGGCCACACCCTTCTCCAACTCTTTCTTCGCCTTTACCAGAGGACAGACCCTGAAGCCATCTGTCTCTATAAACGTGACCTGATGCATATTTATAGGGGCCTGGGGCCTAGCAGAGAGCAGCCTTGGCTGTTTGTGCCAAAGCTTATGAAAAATAAATATCCCCTGGCAGAAGGGGGCTGCAAGTACCTGGGGCTGTGGGGTAGCGGTTAGGTTTCAGGTTGAGGGGAATTGAATAAGAGGAAGCAAATATAGCTGTTTCGGTCTTGGAAGGGAATATGGATTTATGATGAAGGGAGACTGTACCTTGCATTTTTTCTTGGCTTTGAATCATGGGAAATTTTTTAAACTTAAAAACAAAGAGACGAGATTGGTAAACCGAGAGGGGTAAACCAGCCTGCCGTAATCTGCTGCAAATGTAAATTTGGCCATTCATCCATGATTAAACTAATCAAGGAGAAAACCAACCTAGAATTGAGGAGAAATTTCCTAACAGAACAATTAATCAGTGGAATGACTTGCCTCCAGAAGTGGGAGTGCTCCAACACTGGAAGTTTTTAAGAAGAGATTGGAATATCTTGGTTTGGAAATGTAAAGAGATTTTCTTTACATTTCCAATACTTTGGGAATCTTCAAAGCATTTATATTAAATTCCCTTCATGTCCAGAGTTCTTTGTTCTCCTCCTTGTTTGAAAATGGGTTTGATCCAGTATTCTTAGAGATAGCTGGCAAATGAACAAGATTCTGTGTGGGTGTACACTTTATGATGAGTGTATTTCTAACATTTGTGTATGTTTCCAAACCTTCAGATGTAGCAGAAGGAATGGTAGAACCTGAGGGTGGAGTCAAAAGACGAATCAAGTTAGAGTCGCTACATAGCCACAAATGGACTAAGTCCAACTCCTCTTGAATTCCATTGACCCTTATCTGCTGCCAAAATATTGCTAACCATTAGTTGAGTAGATTCCTGTGCATAGGCATGAATAGTAATACTCAGTTTAATGTGGACCTGGTCTTTTGCATCTGACATTATGTCGTTTTGCATTGGTATGGCTGGGATGAACTAAGGTAGGCTTAGACTATCACCACCTGTTTACTCTGAACTTTGTCAACAAAATGAATGCAAGGGTAATTGTATCTTAGATAATATTGATATCCATTGATCTTTCTAAGAAGTTAATCAAGCAAGGTTTCGTTTATTTTATTAGTTCTTCACTATTCTCTAAAGAGCTCCAATTCTTTCTTGGAGGACTGATTGGGTTGGATTAGAAAACTTCCCCATTTTGACTGGGTTATGGTGTTCACATAACCAAGCCCTATGCCAAATAGGGATTTACAGGTGATAATCCAACATCTTGAATTGCTTAAACCAGAATAAACTCAGGGCTTGAGAGATTAAAATGAATCTCCTCCTGCCCCACTCCTTTCTGAGCTATAATATTCTCACAGCACACTTACCCCATTGTTGAACCAGAAAAGCACATTGTGTAAATACCGCCATCCTGCCATAAATCCTGTCTCGCTCAATAACTGTTGTTAGGAGATACAGATAAATGCATAAAACCGAGCTCTTTATATACCTGTGGTATGTTCAATACAGTATCTTTGCTCTTGCCTTATTAATGTGTAAACCATCATTTAATACCATATATGCTATATATTTTTGGAACATGTGACATTTTATAGTCTGTCGATCTTTTGCTTAAGGGGCTTAGATCTGTCCCTTAGGAACCTGTCAGATTAGAATATATATACTGTACTTCTTACATATCCAGGGGAATGCAATTGCAAAAGAGAAAAGGGCACAGCAAAATCCCCTCCATGGCATTTGGAGAGGAGGAGGAGGGGAGGGGGAAGCAGGAAGAGAAGGAGGAGGAGAAGGAATACTCTGATTCCTTTTTCCTTTGTAAAGCTTAGTAGATTTAAGTAAGACTAGACTAGACTAGACTAGACTAGACTAGACTAGACTAGACTAGAATAGAATAGAATAGAATAGAATAGAATAGAATAGAATTTTTTATTGGCCAAGTGTGATTGGACACACAAGGAATTTGTCTTGGTGCATATGCTCTCAGTGTACATAAAAGAAAAGATACGTTCATCAAGAATCGTAAGGTACAACACTTAATGATAGTCATAGGGTACAAATAAGCAATCAGGAACAATATCAATATAAATCGTAAGGATACAGTTTCCATGTATGTTTTCCATGTTTTCATGTATGATAAGTATCCATTCCATCTCCATATTAGAGGCAGAAAGGATAAAATGTGTTAGAGACTGGTGCTCTTTTTAGATCCACACAGCATCCGAAAGCTTACACTTAGTTCTTCAGATGAAATAGGCAAGCGAGCCATGGAAAACTCCTCCTTCAACTCAAAGACTTATATCTTTTTCAATTTTTTATACAATACTATCCCGCTTGTATAACTTGTTTCCTGTTTTCCCCAAAGAATGCTGGATTCAATTAAAAAAAAAAAAAAAACAAAAACAACCTTTGGGCAAGGATCTTCCATTGCTTCCTTTTCAGAAGTAGCAAAACAGGAAATTTAATCTGTACCTGGCCATCTTACACTGTATCCAGCCAGTATTGTCCACTGAAACTGAAGGGATACTTTTGACCAGAAGAACAGAACTCTTTCCTATCAGTTTCTGCATGCAAAACATGTAGTCTTATCATTGAATTGTGGTCTGCCCCCTAGTCTCTCGGGCAGAAAATTTAATAAGGCAGGTTCTCTATTGTTCCTGAACTTTGTGGGTGCTCTGTGTCATGCAGAAATTGGTAAATACTTCCCCAGCCTTCACTGACCCAGCAGAACATTATCTTATCACCCTCTAGAGATAGTTCTGCTTCCTTTCATTAATTGCTCCAAAATTTATACAATTGTCTATACATCTATAAAAGCAATTTTCTTCAAATCTACTAGTTTGGCCAGTCAGTTAATATACAACACATTTAAAATGTGATAGGGTAAATAGAAATTGTGTGTCTTATACATCAGCAAGAATTGGTGTATTAATTAATAGAAGAGAATCTTGACTGGAGAAGAGAATTCAAGATTCAAGAGAATCTTGAATTTTATCCTGGAGATTTGCACATATTCTTTAAATAAAGAGAATTGCCAGTTGTGCAGAGTATAGGTTAATAAATCTGGGTCTTTTTTTAAAAGATTTTTTTCCCCTCCCACTCTAGAGCAAAGACACTGAATGATATTTGCAGCAGCTTGAGCCTTGAGGCTAGAGACCAGAATTACAATATAGAATAAAATTGCATACCTATTTTACTTGCTGCTTCACCTATCCTAAAACATACTTTTCTGTAACTGTCTTATTCTCAAAATCTTTTTGAACAAAAGTATTCATGTGGATTTTAAATGCAACATAGAAACTTTTGGTTTTGGATAGAGTTTGGGGTATTGTAAGGATAGCTGATTTTATGACAAACACCATTGTGATTTCCTACAGGATAGTGGCAAAGCTGATAAAAACCCTGAGAGGAGTTTGATTAGAGTATGAAGCAGCTGGGATTAGGGTACCAAGATGCAGGAGGCAGCAGGTTGAAGTTTACTTATACCAGTTTTTAAAAATAACAAGCTATACTAGGTTCCATCGGATGAGCATGATTTATATCTTTCTCTTTCTTTTTGTGCCTAGTGCAAAATTACTGTGGTTTATTTAAGCATGATTATCCTCCTTTCTTGAGAGCAATATCAGAAAATGTTTAGCAGTAAAGAAAGAAACCACAAAGGAGATCTGTTAGCCTCAAAATCTGATGCAAGACCTATAAGAAATGCTCAAGTAGTTCATTGATCAAAAGAATAATCAAAATGTCAAAATATTTAAGCAGTAGAGTTTTCTGTAGAGGAATGTCAGTTACTGATGCTGTTTTGTGTACACTATCGTGCACAACTAGCTCTGCTTTACTCTATGTTTTCCTTATTTCAGAACAATTTTTTTTAAGTACTACAACCTCAAATCTGCTCTGATGAATTCTATTTTAATTAGTACATTGTGCTAATTTACATAACTGCTGCTGCATTGAACTGATCGTCTTTCTCTCTTTCTTTCTCTCTCTCTTTCTTACAGATATTGATAACATCATGCAGCCAGATACAGACAAAACCAGGGTACGAGTTAGGAAACCGGACATGGTTCTGTATGTCCCAAGAGCAAGACGTGAGATGGCAGTCTCAAAAAGTGGCACTTCCGTGGCCACCAAATGCGGGAGGGAGAGTCACGGCTCCACCACAGAGAAGGAGAGTGTTAAAGCGTGTGAGGCAGGACAAAACCCTAAAACTAGGAAAGGGCTGCTTCAGAATGATCAGGAAAATGCCAGGTCTCCTCAGAAAGAGAGAAGATCTTTTCCCCAGGACTCAAGCCATATTGATGCATTCTGCCAAAGAAACCAAAGGACAAAGGCTCAGGAAGAGAAGAGTCCAAAGTTCCATCAGAAGGCCACATCACAACACTTGTTCCCTTCCTCCAGCTTCCCGGACCCAACTCTTACTGGAGTGAGCGAAACAGAGACATATGAGTGCTGTACTGTACAATCTGCTGCCTCAGGGGAAAGAATGGCAGATTTCCAGCCAGAGATTAGTAGCATCAACATCTCATGGAAAAATGAGTGTATCTGCCCATCAGAAAGGCAGGTCACCAGCAGGACCAAGAGGGCAGCAGTTGTGTCACAAGCAGTAGGACCAGGTCAAGGTGGTAGGCAGAATTCCTTGGAACATAAAATGCTAAGCGAAGATAGTAAAGGTGGTTCAGAATTGACCGGAATAAGTGAGAACAGTATATCTGGAACTGCAGACCAGAAGATTCCAGATAACATAGAGACATATAAGGGTAGTTCATCCATCTGCACAGAGGAAGGAAACTCTGATTCAGCACACACAAGTGATTTGCTGGAGTACATTGATAAAAGCAATCTGTTTCCTAAGGAGATAACCATGTATAATAGATGCAAATGTATAGAACAAAGCAACTCTAGTCAAACAGCAATGAGTAACAATAGCATCTTAGAATGTAGTAGAGTTAAAGATGCAAAGGAGAGTGTTCCTGCTTCAGCACAAGCAAGTGAGTATGGCGACAAGAATGAGAGCTGTATCTCCCACTCTTCAGTTAACTCTGATCAGGTTGGAGTGGCTGCTGATAGTCGTGAGAACATTTTAATTCAGGTGGAGACACATAACATCTTGGAGAATGCAGAGCAGCTTCCAGATAATTCAAACGTGTCTATAGGTTTTAGTTGTTCAGACAGGACTTCTGAGAAGATAGATGATCTACCCAATTGTGTCTTTAAGATAGCAGGTGATGAAAAGTTACAGGCAGGTGATAGTGAACACGATAAGGACAAAAGCCTGTGTGATGAGACAGGCCAGTATAAATTTGATACATTTGAGGCAAAGGCTGCACTGGCAACAGAGGAAAGCATTTTGGACTTGGTTGACCAGAACCCTGAGAGCAGAAGTAGTGTGGAGCCAGTTTGTCCTTCCAAGGAGACTGCCAGCTGGTCTCCGAAGTCTGCCTCTGAGAAGATGGCATCTTGTCCTGTAAGCATATTGGAGAGAACAGGAACACCCTTAGAAGTGACAAAGCCAGGTTTCGGAGAACTAGGTACAAGCTTGCAGTATCCCTCTGAAGGCAAAGGAGAAGAACCACCCACAAATCGTGTGCCATCTAGTTCGGAAGAGACCACTAACACCAGCACTGATCCAGTAAGTCACAGCGAGGCTGACAACATGGCAGATGAGAGCTGGGATGCCCTGTTTAATGATGATGGGGATTGCTTGGATCCACAATTACTGGAGCAGGTGAGTATTCTGGATTTTTTCCCCCAGAGCTGAAGCAAAATGGTAAGAATTGCATGCATGTCAGAGACATGGCCACCTCGAATCTAGAATCTTTGCTTATATCAAAGCTAACTCAGTCTGGTCACTTCCTGCTTTTTCCTGGAAGATCAAACCATAATCATCACACACTGAATTATCTGCTGAAAAATTCAAACCGTGATGCTCAGAGTAAAGTGGAAAACCATTCAAAATACATATGCATGGTTTTGTAATTTCATATTGTTTCTAAATCTTTTTTTTTTAATTTTTGCATTATCTGCATGTTATTGGGAGGCGAAGAAGAGTTGATACCATTGGAAAATGGTATACGGGGGTAGGAAAATTGGCAATTGCCTTCATAGGAAGGAAAAAACAAAACTGGAGACCAATAACCCCTTTTCTGGTAGACTTTATTAAAAGGCATAGACTCATGCCTCATAATAAAATATGTTAATTGGAAAAGGTGACTCCTGATTGTTTGCTGTCATATACTAACATAGCTCTCCTGCTGCAGTACCTACAAGAAGCAAAAGGAAATTCCAGAAATAATAAAAACTGCAAAGCTCCAACTCTAATGGTGAAAATATACCCTATTTCTTGAACGTTTAGTAGAGGTTTGTATTATTTCCCCCATCCGCTGCCCATGAGGGTTAGTAGTTCACCCAGAAAAACTCTTATCAGGGATGTGCATTAAATAATATTTTCTGGCGACGTGCTTCCTGTTCTCTTTGATAAATTGCAGGGAGGATCCCATATGGTCTGCAGTGGGAATTGGAAGAAAATTCTGCCTCCTGCATGGCTAGCTTGTAGCACAAACATTGGCGATGAAATCATAAAACAAAGAGAAGCAACGTGAATGATTATTTATAAATCCCAACACCTGCAGTGGGCTAAAGCTCAGCAAGGCCAGGCCCTGGAACGCAATAAAGAAATGTCCTCCATTGACAGTATATAAAATGCATGTAATCAAGCAGGCGGAAGTGCTGTGCGCGGGGCCTGCGTTGCCATCGAGCAGCTTCAGCATGATGAACACCAGGCATGGAAAGATGGACTGTGAAGCTTCATGAAAATGGCAGTTTTTTAATTGGCTTTGGCTTGTTAGCATATTGCCCTGTAAGGGTAGTGCTGAGTGCGTGGCGATGAGAAGCACAGCCCAGGGAATGCGCTGCCTTGCCGTCAGTTTACGAGGAAATCTCTGTGTTGGCTGGATGGCTGAGGACCCTTATTAAAGCTTAAATCAATATCACGGCCTTGTACTTTCGGAGTGACGCAAAGGTACCTAAAGTAACAAAGTATCCTAATATTGCTGCAAACGGCATATAGCCTGCTCAGGAGTCAGGGTTGATCTGAGTTGATTCAGCTTGCTAATAGCTCCTGCAGACCACTGAAATTAACTAAGCAGGCTCATTACTAAGGCTTAGCTCATAGGCCGTCCTAAATTCCATATATTGGAACCTGCTAAAACTCTACAGGGCCCGCTTTGACAGGAAATGGCTGTGGATTCACTATTGCTTATTCTACTTTTTTACGGTCTAGAAATTAAATCTCTCTTACTAAGCAGGTAACCTACCAACCCAGATCACACAGGTGGCATATATGGCCGAAAAGAGCTCTCTACCTTCCTATGTTTTCAGCAGACATGGCAGCATCTCAAGTGCAGTCTTTCTTTCTCAGAACTGGAAGAGCAACAGGAATGCAATGGCTGTGAACAGATCAGTGGCACTGGATGTCTGTTTCACAATATAGGCAGGCCTCAGAGGCACAAGGCATCCTTCACCCATGCCCAGCAAATGCAAATGAATGCTTGTGCAAGTGAGCATCTTACCGCATTTACATTTTTTCTGCAGCTTCTGTGATGGCTTGCTTGGTGCTTTGGGCTGAAAAATGAGCAGGAGAATTATTTGCATTCATTCATTCGTTCATTCATTCATTCATTCAATTACTATAGCCACCCATCTCAATCAATGACTCTGGACAGTTTACAGTTCAAAAATTATATTGCTGCTGGTAGGCATCAGAAAAGGAAAAACATTTTAGATTATCTCTCCTAGGGTTATGTCCTTTGCTTTCTATAAGGCTTGGTCTGCTCTGTTGGATTTGTCAGAGGAAATTGTTGTCTACACTTAACCAGGAACAGTAAGGGTATCTCTTGCTCCAACCACAAAGCTAGTGATCACTTTGCATTACTATGAATTCAGCATTGTAGAATATTTGTGCTTGGTTGAACGAAGTCTGTGTCTGCTTTTATAAGAGAAATTATATCAGTACACATTGTGCATTAAATCTTAAAGTTAGGGATAGTTTCTTTTTTCCTACATCTTTCTTTTTGCTTGGCAGAAAGTGCATCTTCCTTAGCTGGGAAAGTGGAGGTAAAATGTTCTTTAATATTTTGATTCTTTGATAAAAACTGGGCGATATAGCCTGTCAAGGAAGCAAGCTCTTGACCCTTTCTCAGTAGGCACCTCTTATAGCTCACAGATTTCTTCAACTCTAGTAACTGTACCATTGCACTCAGAAGAGAAAAGGCCCAGCATTTCCATGTGCCACAGCCACTTCAAGGAAAAGCAAACCAAAACAGGAACATAATCTTTTAACCGTGAAGGCAGGATCCAAATGAAAACAATCCAGTGATCTTTGTTAGGAAGATCTCATAGGGGAATCTTATGAAGTCACTGACTTAGGGTAGCTTTCCCCCAAAACTCTGAATTGCAGCTTTCTATGACCAATCATCAAAAATGGGAGAGGGAGAAGTAGAGCCCAAAACATCTGGTTGCTGGAAGTTTGGGTTGCAGCATATCCAGACCAAGATTTTTGTCAGATTACATATGGCAGTAAATTCCACTGTGCCAGGTCCACTCTGAGTGTCTCTACCACCATTACTTGCTTACCAAATAGGCTATAAGTGTGTGCATGTGTATGTGTGTGTGCAGTTTGGGATTCTCATATTTTCTTTCATGAACATGGAGCTCTGTGTGTGATTGCATCAATAAGACACTTCCCCAATCCATGTTATTAGATTTGATTTCTCTCCCTCTGTGCTTACCAGAAAGGACCTTTCATCAGGCTTATGAAATAACAGGGCTCCAGGATCATGAAGCAGGTGGATTTACAAAGGTTCTTTTAAGAGGGCCTCACAAAAAGGTGCAATGCCACAAATTTACCTTAACGAAGAAAAATGTTGTGTTAATAAAAAGAGTGAATATGGGACAATAGCCAGAAAAACGAGTTCGTGTAAGATTTCTGTTGAGACCAATTACCCATAGTATCACTTTAATGAGGTACAAGATTTTATGTGGATAAAACAGGACTTGAGATGCACACAGTGACAGATCTTGGGCTGTGTGTGAGCTGTATTCCTTGTTCGTGTGGGAAAAATCAGTATTCAAGCATTCCAAAAATTCTTAGGGCAACCTAATTGAGCAAAGGGAGAGTTCACACTAGCACGCACTACCTTGGTGTTATATTCATTGTGAGATGCGCCCCTACTTTAAATGAGTTTGCATATGTTATTGTAAGAGATCTTTGCATACATTAAAATTCAATTCATTTAATCCCCAATGGAAATTTCCTGTAAAAGGTAGAATTTGGCTTTTCTGCAGTGGCTGTAGCTTTGTTAATGCAGAGGTGCATTTATTCATATCTTTCTGTTTGTGCTGAAGAAAGAATAAGGTGAGATAAAAAACAGGATGGAAAAAAAAACAATTCTTCACAAACAACTCATATCTAAATAAAGCAGGATCTGTGCTATTATTTGCCCCAGTGAGTTTTCTAAGGTCAGTCTAACTCATTTTGTTATATAAGAGCAAGGTTAGGGAGAGAGGGTTAGACATGAGAAAAAGAGAAAAGGGAGGAAATTTTGGCATATTCCAGAGAAAATATTTCTAATGTTCATTATAGGTTGTTTGTTAGGACTCTAATGTTTACACATGAAGATAGGAGCATCATGCTTAGTCTTCATCTTTGTGAGTATTGAAGTCAAAGGAAGGAACACAAATAGGTGTGTTTTTCTTTGGAGTGAGGCAGGAGGTATATGTGTAGGTGAGATATGTGAAATTAGGATTTGTGCCCTGTACTTCCCAAACCTTAGCCTTTCCTATAGTATTGGATCACAGTTCTCATCATTTCAAGCCACTATGTTTAGTAGCTATATTGAAAGGGCTGAAAGTGGGGATGGCTCATGTATGAGTTTAAAGGCTGCAGTGATCTTATCTGTCTGGTGAAAGCAACAAGATTTATTCCCTTAATTTAGCATTTGGTAAATGTTTTCATTTAGCAAGGAAAATTAGGATTTTGCTCTGATATTAGACCACTTGATTCTTAACTCTAAAGTTTTGGGTGGATTTTTTAAATTATTATTCTACGATCTGCATTTGAAAATTAATCTAATCTTGTTTCTTTTGGCTGCCAGAAAATCATTTTTCCGTCGAGAAAGATAATTTATATCAAGTGATACCAAAATCTTTAATTTCCCAATGAGAGTGAGGTTTCTGCAGCCTCTGCTACTCAGTTCTTTACCCTACTCTTCCTTCCTTCCTTCCTTCCTTCCTTCCTTCCTTCCTTCCTTCCTTCCTTCCTTCCTTCCTTCCTTCATTGCCTGAACATCCACCTTTCTCGCCACAGGCATGAGTACTCTTTGGAAAGCAGACTTTCAACCAAAAGCTGAGGCTGACTTTATGCGCAGTTAAGTTCACAGTCCCTTATGCAATTCATGATAGGAAGTTCCAACACTAATGGGTTCACACTCTCATTATGTATGAAGCTTTTTAAACATACTTGTAACAATACAAAGCTATATACACACCGCATTACCTGATGCACATATGCATGAGCAGCTGTCTGTCTGTCGCTCATATTTCACAATTAAAATTGCAATTTATACACATGGAAAGTTTTAAGAAACTTTGTCTTCTATTTCCAGTGGTCCCTGGAGGCAAATTCTAATCTTCGCATTTTGTGAACTGTCCTGTTTTGACTTGTCATCCTCCTTGCACCCAGTGGTTTGTGAAGGGCAGGGGTGCTCATGCAGTATGCATTCCACAATCTCAGATAATCTTCTATGCCACTTGATATTATGAGCACTCTGCTCCATCAAGCATGTCTGAGGCCCGATCCTGCTGGGCTGTAGTGTTGTTCATTTGAACTCTGGATGCTCAGGTTCATGCCTTAGTTTTATTAAACCCAGCAAGATGCATCCTTCTTTATGTTCCTATTGCGACAGTTCCACCTCTTCCTCTCTGGATTGCCACCTTTTTCTTACTTGCTCCTACTGCAAATCCACTTTCCAGGAAGAATTATCTGAATTATTGTCTTCTATTGACTCAAGAGAGGTGAATTTATAGTCTCCCTGTGGAATCGTGGCTTGTCCTGGTACAGATGCTTGCAAAACCAGAAACCTGCCTGAGTTATAGTCTTCCTTGCCAACAGGGTATGTGCTGATGTATGCCATTAAAAACCCAGGACAAGAGTTCTGTCAACAGATCAGCAGCAGCAATACTAATCAGCATCCATCTGTCAATCACAACACAGCCAAAATGACTTGGCATCCTTATTGGAAGAGACATGTCTTTGGAATAGAATGGAATGGCCAGAACAAGGCAATTTGGTGCAAGGATCAATGTCCGTTCTGTTACCGTGAGGCGGGTTTGGTGGCCACATCAAAGATTTCCTAAGAAGAACCGTGCCAATTCAAAGGTGTTTGTAGAAGCTCTGCTTCCTTCCCCGCAGAAGTAAAAGTCAGGCTTGGATGACCTTTCTGATTTAGGGTTGAAAACCATATCAAACGTGGTTTCTTTGTGAAATATAATCATTTTATGAATTTATTTACAAAACATTATTTTGCATTGTGTTTAAGTCCTGAGAAGATCACCAGGCAAAAATTAGCTATGATCGAAACTGGAGCGCATATAAAAAAGTAAAGCAAAGCCGATCAAATACAGCAGCAGGCAAGATTTTAAAACACTAAAGACAACTTAACTCTCTTTTTGAAAAAGAGTCTGCATTAGGCGTGGCCTCCATAGCCAGGTGCTGCCACTGATAAAACCTTGTAATGCATCTCTACCATTTGCCCTCTCTTGGCAGCAGAATAACTGGACTTGACAAGTAAGTGCAAGGATAACAAAGTGTTCTGGTCTCAAATCATTTTAGACTTGAAAGATAATAATCAGCAGTTTGTATTAGACCAGAAACAATCAGAAGTCAGTGGAGTTTAAACAAGAACAGGGCAATATTTTCAAAAAAGCAGGTCCAAGAATTTTTTTTTTTTAAATAGCTATACCTTCCAATTGCAAAATAAACATCTTGTGTTACATTTAATTACCACTGGCTGTAATTGCCATTAACTGTTAATGCATTAATGTGTTAATTTATTTGGACACATCTATTTAAAGATGTTCACTAGGACATATTCCAAGGAATACATGGGCTCAGATTTTCTCCTTTTGCCACAGTCTTTATTTAGCATTTTATCTCCTATCTATTCTAGCCATATCCAGTCACCATGCGGCTTGCCATAGTTGCTTTACTAACTGCGTTTTGCAACTATCTCAGGTATTGGTTTGGATGCAACTAATGCCTTCCTGCCGGATGGATGCTTACTGAAGCAGATGTTCATTCCCGCTTCCTCCTCTGGAATCAGTGAGGGAGAAATCTGCCTAGATCTAGGGAAAGAGCATGCAAGCAGCAGGAGGCACCTAATCAATAACTCCCAATCTCCCATGGATAATCAATCCTTTTCCAGAGCCGAGTCTCTAGCCCCATCAATCAGCTAGTGCACCCATTCCCAGGCTGACATAAAGGTTTGCGATGAGACAAGACAGAGGCTAACGTTTCAGGGTTGAGATATGAAATTAGACAATGGAGTAGATCCCTGAAATGACATCTGGAATCTACCTGTGGCCAATCTTGCTTTCAAAGAAAGGATCGAAACAAAAGACAGTTTTGCTGTGTATCCTGCGCTTCGTGCTTATAATTAGTCTCTGCCCTCCCTCCAGCTGTCTACCTGCACTCTCCGTGGCACAAGGCTACAGGAGCCGCATTTTGATTATTACAACTATTCTCCAGCTGATCAGGACATGAGTGACTCTGAGCTGCCACATGTCATTGAAATCTATGACTTCCCACCAGAATTCCGCACTGAGGATCTGCTGTGTGTCTTCTGCCATTACCAGTAAGCAGTTTGGTTCTGTTTCTCACTTGTGTTTTCTAGTGTAGTCTATCCTCTGAGCTGAAGTGGCTGGGATGTAGCACGTTAGAACTGCACCCTTTCAATGACTTCTCTAAAAGTCACTGACCGGCTGCTTGCTTGCTTGCTTTTATTGCAGCCACCCCTGCCTCAGGGCCATTATTATCAGCTTTTTCTAATGATGCTCAGGTTTGGTATGTTATTGCCACTCATCAAGGGAATATTTTATTCCTCCCATCCTCTAAGGATTCTTCCTGCCCTGCAGTGAGAAATTCAAGTGAACACACATCTATATCCTAACTGTATATTTTCTTTGAAGCTGCACGTAATTTGATGGTTTTTGTTGTTGTTTTTTTGGATCACTGCCAGTTTTCCAGCTTTCTTTTTTCCCTTTCATCAGGAAAAAAGGCTTTGACATTAAATGGATAGATGACACACATGCTCTGGGTATCTTCTCTAGTCCCATCACAGGTATGACCTGCTTTTGAGAACCAGACCTGCTGGGTGTGTCCTTGGATGAAAGATGCTGGATGACAGCATTTGTTGAGTGGTGGGACTTGGGGCTCCTGTCCACTCACTCTCATTTCTCATCTGACATTGCCTTTATTCACCATAGCACAGGATGCTCTCAATACCAAACATCTGATGGTGAAAACCCGTCCCCTGTCACAGGCTACACGAGCTGCCAGGACCAAAGCCAGAGCTTATGCAGGTAAGTCCAGAAAGATTCAAAGAATCTGCCAGGTTAACCTTTTTCTAGCTGCTGAGTCATACCTGTAATATATATTGTCTTCCTATACCGTGTTTCCCCAAAAATACAACCTACCCCGAAAGTAAGTCCTAGCCTGATTTTTACACGTGCGCTCAATATAAGCCCTACCCCCAAAATAACCCCTAATTAAGACCTTGCCCACTCCAGGGTACATGGATAAAAATTAAGATGGGGTGCAGCTGCTGCTACTACTACTTATCTTCGGACAGTTGCAGCCAAGCCTCGCACATCCTGACACCTGCCTTGCTGGCCTATTTCTTCTGCAGCCGGCATGGCTTTCCTGGAGGCCTCTGTAGCCAATAACAGCTTCGGATCGATCTGGAGCTCTGTTTTTGGCTGCAGAGGCCTTCAGAAAAGCCTTGCCGGCCTTTTGCCAACCTTACCGGCTGCAGAAGAAGTTACTAAAGGCCTCTGACAGCAAAAAGGAGGCCGGGGCATCACACGCACATGAGGTGAGTCAATGGATGACATCTCCCCCGAAAATAAGACCTGGTGCCTTTTTTTTGGTGGCAAAAAAAATATGACAGGTCTTATTTTTGGGAAAATACGGGTAGGTATTAAGTGAGACCATCTGATTTTATACCAGGCGTCAACTGTTCTATCCACCTTTGCTCTGCACATGTCATAGATTGATTAGCTCTGGTTCTCAGTGCTGATAAAAATGCCTCCTGATCAAGAAAACTGTTCCATTGGAAATATCCATCATTCCCTCTTAAACTTAGCTTTTAGAATCCTGTGCACGCTTCTCCAATGAAAGAGCTACGCTAACAGTCTATTCATGGTGTTCTCTTAGCATTGAACAGTGCTTTTTGTAACATTAACAAGGATCAAGCCTATGAAATGCTGGGTCATCCTCTCTTGAGTTGCTGTTGGTTAAACTAATTCCCAAGACTCTTTTCAGGCAAATATGATATGCTGCTGCATGTTTTAAGTAGTAAACACAGCAAATATTTTTTTTAGTTTTCCAATCCTATGTTGTCCAACATCTGTGAGACTGAAAAGTGAGTAGCACAATGGTAACACTGCCATGTATCATGATCTGTTTTCAATACGGTATAATGGGGATAGAATTAATGGAACTGAAGAAACAGCAAATGTATAGCTCTACTAGTAGTTGTATATTTGGCCAGTAGTTTCTTAAATTCATTGCAACGTGCCCTCTTTATTATTCTTTTTTTTTTTCTAGTTTCATGGGAAGGTCTATTAAAGTTGCTACCAATCTTTCACTCTGTCTTGTTATTATTTGAAGTAGAAAGGAATGCCTGTGTTCTGGGGAAGGGAGCCATTTGTTAATACTTAAATATGCTTGTCTTCCCATCCTATCAATGGAAACAATAACTCCAGATATTGAGACATCTGCTTTTCCCTCCTCTTAGAATTCCTGCAACCTGCCAAAGAGCGTCCTGAGACCTCAGCTGCTCTGGCCAGGAGACTGGTGACAGGTGCCCTTGGTGTGCGAAGCAAGCAGAGCAAGGCCGAACGCGAAGCTGAACGCAAGCAGTTACAAGCAGCTCGAGGTAAGCGTGAAGGAGCAGAGACACTGCGGTGTTGGAGGTGTGTGTGTGTGTGTGTGTAAGAAGTCGGGAGAGATATGAATGGCTATTCTACTTCTAGGAGTACCAAGTGTCTAAGATGAAAAAGATGCAGTCTGCAGTATCATAAGTAGCAATGAAAAAAATTACATCATTTCTCTGTGTCTCTGTTTCAAGCTACCCTGCTCTCATTTACTATCCACATTCAGGAAGTCAATCTGGTCCAAGTGTCTGCTTCAGTGCAGAATGGTAAGTGAGCCAAAACATTTTTGTTATCACTCTGCCAGATCTACCTGAGTACCCTAGGGAACTTCGCAATGGCCGGAGATTTCCCTGTCTCGGGTTCAGTGGAGAAACTTAACTGTGCTCTCCTGAAATATACAGGGATAAACAAGAAAGAATCAACTGCACTTCAGTCCCCTTTCTTTAACGTTACTAAGGTACAGCACCTCACTCTCTGCCTATCCTTCATGTGCATCAACCAGAGAGCAGTGACAAAGCTATTGGCCTGGCCGGGGGAAGGAGAGTTTTTCATCCTATCTAGGAAATTGTAATGAAATCAACAAAGTATCTGTAGATTCCTACTGTGCCCTTGTCTGGTAGAAGTAGAAAGAAGAAAGAGAACCAGCCATTTGCTGCAGAATAGCTTGTGGATATTTGGAAATGAACTCCCCCGACCTGCAGTAGTGTAATCTCTTGAGTAAAAGGTTACTTTACTCTTTAGTTGATGCCGGTGTGTATGGTACTGCCAGTCTTCTGTTTATGGTGGGCATCTGGATGCATTTTAGTCTTCAAAGATTCTACCTAGCTTATCTCCAACTCCTCATCCTCCTGGATGGCCCAAAACTGAGATTGAACCCACATGTTCGACAATGCAGCTTTTTGCCCATAGGGATGTAAAGGACAAATCATGTTGAATGACTAGAAAATATAGCATAATAAATGTATCAGTTACAAAAGCTATCAGAAGTGTATTTCCTCTTGTGAAACGATAAATCTTCTGAACAACCTCTGCTCCATCTCATAATCATGGGCTAGAAAATTATGTAACCAGAAATTCAACCTTGTTTTCAATTTAACCAGAGTTTCTGAGATTTTGGAAGAAATGTATTTATTTTATTTATCTGTTAGATTTCTGTCCAGCTTTTCCATAGTGGCTCAAATTAGCTTTCTTGGATAAATATTTTCTGCGGTTTTTTTAAAAGAAATTCTGCAAGCTAGATTGGGCTGAGAATTAAATTTGATTGTGTGACCTGAATCCAGATCTTTGCAGTCTTAGACTGAACCACTGAGAAGGTGGTTTGGGTGTTTTTTTTGGCCAGAGCTGGTGGATATGGAAGGCAGAGTTGAATCTTGTCCAGATGGACCAGAAATGATAAAAAATGAGGATGAAAAAATTAAATATAGAAGCTATGGACTCCCTCTTGGAAAAGAAAGGGTAGAAGTTAGTTCTACCGGCACTGTGATCTTTTATGAAAGTGCTATATTTCAAGCTCACATTATCATTCAGGCAGCATTGAAAATCAGATGAGAAATGCAGGTCATTAACAATGCAAATATTTTATTTGTAGTATTTTTCTTTAACAACACACTTTGCACTTCGGGAACATGCTGACAACTTTTTGTCAGTTCAAATGATAAATCTCCAGGTGGTTCCATTTTGTAACATTGCCTCTTCTCTCTAATAATTCTGGTAAACTCAACTCCTCTATCTTTCCTTTTCCGTACAGTCCCTCCCCTCCCCCATTTTTCTGTGGCATATTCTGAAGCAGCTATTTTGTAGAGTATTTGTTGACCTTCTTCAATTGTTCTTTTGAAATTGGAGTATAAGTATTGATTATTCAAGTTTTTTAGACATTCTTATTGTAATTAACTGTTAAAGATTGCTTTTCTCTACTGGTTTGGCTTTTTGAATAGGATATGCATCCAATAATCACTGCCATCTTTCCAGCAATAATATTGGGATCAGATATACTATGAGCTCCATGCAAAAGACATTTTAGGGAGGGGAAAGCATCAACATTAAACATGTGATGTCCAGGTTTATGTAGCCTTGTTAATTGAATGCCTTCATTGTACTTACTAAGGTGTGCCTCTTTGAATTCATGCAAGGACTAGGAATTCTTATTTTCCTATCCTTTTTCTTTAAGGGCATTGGAAGAGAACAAGGATTCCCCCGAGCAGCAAGAGCAGTTTATAGCTCTAATTAAGTGCCTTGAGGGAAGAAAGCTGTGGTATATTCAGTCCCTCTAGGAAAAAGATATATGGGAAATGCAATTGTGTCAGGTCTTCAGTGTTCACTAGTGGACACTAGGTGGTGCTCCAGTTCTGTTTACTGTACTGAACAATAGTACTACTCCGGAATACAGAACCCTGAACCAGGCTGAGCTTCAAAATAGTGAGAGCAAGCCGTGCATAAGAATAGCTTATTTTAATTTAATTGCAGCTACCAACTCAGTAATTTGCTACTCTCCTCTGCTGAGTAGGCTTTCAAACAGATTACAAGCAAATACTCTAGGCTGATCTCAGGTGAAATGCAGCTTCATAATATGTTTCATGGATGTGTAGGAAGGGATAGGATTCAGGCGCACTGTGCAGGGTAATTGAGTGAACACTTCCAGTGTGCAATGATGTGAGCATGTCCACAGTTTGCTGAGGTGGCTCTTGATCTCTGCACCAAGTAAGCAGAGACAACAGCCTCCTATGTCACGAGGGATATCAAGAGAGAATGCATGCACACCGAGGCTGCGTTAAGGGTCACCAAAGCCCTGGAAGTTGCTGCTATGATCAGCTCTGTTTCATGTGACCGCTACTTCCCTAATCACATTTTGTCTTGCAGAGCGGAAGCTCTTGGAGGCCAAGCAAAAGGAAGATGCCTGGGAAGGTCGGGAGTGAGTCAGCAGCCAGTGCAAGAAGAGGGAAGTTGATCAGGCCTGCTTGAAAACCTCATGGAGTGGAACTGACAAATGGCAGCTTGTGCTTACAGCATTGAGGGACTCTACCATCCCCTTTGGGGGAAGCAATAAGATATGGGGAGTTGGGAGTGCATTGGAGTAGCCAGACATGCCAGGGTGAGTCATGTGAACCCAAGCTACTGGGTTGGCTGGAAGGCTGTGAAAGAGTGGGACTGGAGTCTGGCAGTACCACAGGAAGAGCTGCTGTATTGTTAACAGTCCTGCCAGTGCTGTTCTGAATGCCATAGAATGTTATCCAAATGCACTCATCACATTAGTTTAAAGCAGCCTGGATGCAGGGCCTATCTGTGCTCTGGGTCACTGAGTCATGTTGTGCTCAGTGGGATGGGACTGAACCGTGATAGCTTTTAGATCAGGCCCGCTAGGATGGCCAGGTGCCCAATGCTGAGCTTGCTATTAAAGTTGATTTGATTTTATATGGTGTCGTGTGATGCAGGCAGCTTTACTGCCTCCAAGTAACTCTATGAATCTTCAGCACTGGAAAGTAAGCAGAGGTATGACAGCAACTCAATGAGTTACTAAGGTTGGACTTGACTCAGACCTTCCTCTTCCAGATCCTTTAGAATGGAAGTCAACATAAGATGCCCAGAAGAAAGGGGCTTCTCTCTTACAAACCCATTCCTGATGGGATGCTCGTAAGTTCATCTGAAGAGTTGAGATGAAAGCAAGTCTTCCCCTACAGGGAAATCAGGCTCCTGCTGGGAGACCCTGCTACCCAGTCAGATTCTGGACCTCCTAGCAGAACCGTTCCTAAGAGGCTCTATGCACTTGTGTGGGATTCCCCTCCTTATGGCAGGAATATGTTGGCAGCAGTCCTTGCAGTATGTCACTCACACCCTGTAAAAACAGGCACAAGTAAAAAGCAAGCCAGCTCTGGCCTGTTGGATTTTACTTTACAAGCATTCCTTCCCCACCACCACCACCGCCCACTCCCCAGGAATGTATCTCAAAGACTGGCAAACAAGGTCCTTTCTGTTCTGAGCAGCTGCATTACCACCACCCAAAAAGCAGGCAGATTGGCTGCTTCCTGAAAATGTACATCAACAACACACCTTTGCCAGGCTGGGCCGGAGATTCCTGTGGTCAGACACTCCCAGCTGTGTTTGGGGTCAAGCCCTCTAAGCTTGGACCAAGAATTTTGGTTGTCTCCGCTTAGTTGGTGCAGAAATCAAGATCCAAACACATCAGTCTGATCTTGCTACTGCACAGCAGTAGACACAATTGCTGCTCAAACTCTAGATCAACACAATCTGTCCTAGTCCAAGTTGTGGGTCAAGACAGCGCATCAGAGGTCATGTTGGAGGTGGCATTTTGGAAGGGGCGGGGAGCAGAGTTCACTAGGGGTGTGTGCCTGGCATGCCACATTGATCTAGCCACAGGGAGACTGGAGATACTCTCTATGGGACATTCCGCTTGAGATTGTTTGGGGTCAAATCGCACAGAGTAAGCCAAGGCAGCTCTCAGAGCTGGAATGCTCTGGCAAGCTGCCTGTTGCTGGCCAGCCAGACTTACAGCCATCTCCGTACCTGGAACAGCAACCGGTTGTGTCTCCATTTGAGCAGGGTGGAGTGCTTGCCTGTGATGTGGGCAGTATTCTGGAATAGGAGCGGATGGGTAGTGACTGCTTTTCCTGGCAGTTCTAATAGTCTAATTCCCTACTCTGCCAAGCAAGTGATACCTGAACCAAGCCCTGTCTATTTGATCCAACTAAATACTCTCCAATCTGATACACCAGAGTGGCTAAATTAGGTTTCATTCCCATTTATAGTTTCTGGCAGTTTGCAGAGCCTCCCTGCATGAAAGGCCATCAGCATTTGCATCAGAGTAGACTAGCCATCCAAGTAATTTCATATTTACTTAGGAACAATTGCATTGAAGCTTATTGAAGAACTGTATTTAATTCTTTTGTAAATGTGGCTTTAAGGCAAACATGCAGATCATTCTTTAAATTGGCATACCCCAGATCCTATGCTTAGCTGGTCCCATGTCTTATTCCAGACAGGATTTGTATTTTTGATTCGTTATTGGCCTCTTTTCCTGTACTCTTGCCATTTCTGCTAGGATTGCACTGTTGCAAAACATGCCACAGAATTTGAGAACTATTTTAATTATTTCCAGAAACAGATTTAAGATTTGTCTCCTCGATGTTGCTTTAAAATCTAAACACCAAAAGCGTGTAGTGTTCAGATCTAAATTATGCAAAGAGGCTTCAGATCTAGCATAGAGACCTCTCCTCCCCCCTATCAGCACTTCCTTAAAGGAGAAAGATCCTTTCCTGGTCTTTCATACTAATCTCTATGCTCAAGAAAGAACATGAGTAAGTTGAGTTCAGAAGGCATTAAAAGCATGTGCTGGTGGATGATCCCCTTGTATCAGGGCATATCAGATTCCCTGCCTCATCTGGCTTTCAATTTTTTCTAGTTTCTCTTAATTTTAGAAGAAGCATGCAGAACATGCTTGTATCCTTTAAGCTCATTAAAATAGTTCTGCTCTGGAACATTTGATCAGAAAGTGAGACTTTAAATGAAGATCACAACACATTCCAAGCTCAATTGCCTTTCCACAGGGGGTTGCAGGGCGGGGGGGGGGGGGTGTTCCTCTGGATTTCTTTTTCTTCTGCAGCTCCTGGCTTGATCTGGCTCATACTTGAACACAATTTTTCTTTGCATGTTTTATTTCCAGCACCAAATTATTTTGCTTGCTTTATTTCCAGCACCAAATTTGGCCCTGGTCTGTTCAGTTTTCAGTTAATTATTGTGCTGAGAAGACGCAGTAGGGTCCTGAGTCTCTCTGCATAATTTCTTTCCAATATTTCCATTGGATTGGAAATAATAAAAAGAAAATGGAGCTTGGTTCTTGTCTGTTTTTGTCTTCTGCTACTGATAAAAATCTTCTGTCCCAAAAACTTTTGCAAAGCCAAAAAAATTGAACAGTACATTCAAACACATGTCAGTGACCATTATACTGACCAATGGTAGATAAATTAAGACAGGTTCTGCCCATTTTTATTAATCAGCAACTCTGTTACATAAATATGGCACAGATACACAGTATTATGTAGGAGTCATTCAAAGATACCACTTATTGGAGTAACAGTATGTATGCGCACAGCAACAATCCAAACTCATGGGGAGTGGGGGGGGGAGGAATTGGCAGGCTAAAAAGAAACATGAGACATTGAGCCCTCTAAAGTACCAGCCTCCAGCATCATCTTTATTTACAATAATTCCTCTGGGCCTCATAGGCATTCTTAGAAAATACAAGTGGTGGGTTACTGCAGCCCAATGTTTTGTTAAAAGGCTGCCTATCTGGCCAGAGAAAAGGCTAGCTAAAAGCTACTTATTTATTTTGCAATATTTGTAAATCACTCTAATCTCCGACACTCTGGGAACTATAGGAGTATCATGGGAGCTGGAGGAGTTAACAATCAGCGATTTTATAGAGTTGCCTTCTGGTAATGGGCTGTTTGTGCTTGCTATAACAGCCACTTGGGGAAAAGTCAAGTCCACCCACTCTTCTCCCCCTCACGGCAACCTGTGGTGTGCATTCTTGCGATGCACTCACAAAACTCATGCCTGGCTCTGACTCAAATAGGTTGGAGATCCCTGATATCAATTATGGGCTGGTCAGTTGGACATTCTTGGAAGCGCTAGAGGAACTTGTTGGGCTCTGACTCTCCATCTCTTCTGATGGTTTAATACAACCTCCCTCAAAGGCTTTCCTCTGACTGCATACTTGTTCTCACAAATTTAAGCCCACATTGATTCTTGAGGGTTTCTGGATCCTTTGCAAGATTCAGTGGCACAAAGCTAAAACTGCCAGCAGCCGATTTATTTTTTCTGGGCATTGATCATTGGTAACCATATTTAGATTTCACATGCTGAATATTCCCTCACTGCAGCCCTCCTGAAGTGGAGAGAGGAAGAGTAGAAATGTGTTAACAGAGAGTCAGTAATTTGGTTCAAAGCAAGAATAATTTTTAAAATGGCAGAATGTTTCTAGGTGTTTTCATATCAGAACTGCAGTAATCTAAGGAATACCTGGCCGTATTGATTGCAGAATACAGTTATTGAATGTGTTTACTGCACATTTCAAGATAGAAACTTGGAAAATCTGATCCGGCCAATTCTGGCTTGGGCATCATGCCCATTCCCCTCTGCAGTGATCCTATTGTGACTCACGTACTTCTTTACCAGGAAATAATGTTTTAGCTAAATTCAGCCCTGTTGGGATTTTGAAAACATTTAATACTCAAAAGTAGTATTGAAGCAGTATCATAAAGGGCTATGAAATAAGTATCCTCTGGAACGATATGTTTGATTCCTTCATTTCTTAAATCCTCAGTTTAATTCAGTTTAGTTGGAATGAGAGTTTGGATTTTTGCCCTCTATTAAAGGAATAATTGTAATCCGTTCCAGTATATTTCAGTTCCCCCTGTTTGTTGCGTGATAAATTTCCATTTCTAGTTCATCTGTTGTATATATAATCCTCACTTGTCTTTTCATGGTTGCATTTCTCTTGGGAAAACATGTGCATTTTCCAACTATTTAAAATGTAGTGCTTTCTTTCTGAGAAAAATTAAGTATTCTTTCCTGTCCAAATATACATATAGTGTTGTAGGAATTGCTTTTTGAGGCATGAAAGTTGGATGGAAGTTGCCTCACCATCCTAAGAACAGTCAGTGTTTTTCAACCTTGGCAACTTGAAGATATGTGGACTTTAACTTCCAGAATTCTGGGAGTTGAAATCCACATATTTTCTATCTGACAAGGTTAAAAACACTGGTCTAAGTGTTCTTTGCAGAAGTACCAGGCACATAGGAACTTCTAGAAGAGATTTTTCTGCCTGATCAGCCTGCCACACATTCCAATTTTTATGGGACAATAACATCTTGTCTTCCACTACTTGTGGGTTTTGGTCCTCAGAAAATATATAAAGACGGAATAACTGTATGATATCTCTTGATTGGTAAAATTGGGAAGTATCTGGAAACAGCACAGATGTGACATAGTGTAAAGTTAATGATACCAAAAGACTCACAAACTTGTACTTTTGAAACAAGAATTTTGATTTTTGAACACTTCAATAAGGGTCAGAGCAGCATCAAACATCTTCGGTGAAGCCATTCGGACAGCCATTTTGAGTCTGAAATGAGGTGTTTCAACCACAAATAATTCAGACTAGAAATCTTTTGCATACTCTAGTCTAATGCCTTAAAATGGAAAATTAAATGGGTAAGGTAAATGTGAGTGTATATAACTAAGAAGAGGCTGTGCAAGAAGTTTGGAAGTGAAGGAGAAATGACTGAAGAAGAGAGATAATTTATTGAGATTATGGTGCATATGAAAATGTAGGGAAGGAGCATATTGAGCAAGTGAAGATTTGCGGTGCTAGCCTTTTTTTCCCCACATCAACATGAAAAATGGCATTAAATTAATAGATGAGGATTTTATGTCATAGAATGAATATGAACTCGTATGTTCTTCCATGCCCTTTCTGTTCTATGTAAGCCTCAAATATGATTGCCTTCTTGCCTCTGCACTCCATTAAACCATGAAGGTTCTTTTCAGCTTCCACTCTGTTAAATCTATCCTGCAGATTGCAATCAATTTCTCTTTTGCTTTTCCTGTTCCCCATGTTTCAGTTATTTCTGCTTCCCTTATGCCTGTCTGGTCCATCTAGCAGAGATATTTAATCTTCAGAGCGAAGATCACATAAATTACTTGATACAAATGATGACAAGGAGAAAAAAAATCAAAGGAGATGAGGAGTCTAAGAAAATAGAATCAGTCTCATATTGCAGAGTTAGCATAGCACTGAGTTGGAAGATGGAGGTCTGTAGTTGTACATACAAGATATTTCATGAAAAATGATTCTCCCCATGAATTGCGAGCTGGTGAGAAAATTTGCTGAAGAAGCTTACTAAGAATGTAATCACTGTTGGCCGCACAAATAAATATTGAACTTATATTATACTCACAGCTAAAATAATGTGTACAAAAGTGTTGAAATTGCTTTCCAGAAACTCCTGGAATTTCTCCATGAAAAAAACGGGAAAGATATACGTGTTTTCCAGGAAGAGAGCTTAGGTCTCATTTTTTACTGTCGTCTTCAGAGTTAAGAGAATTCTTGTCTGTACTCTAAAGAATAAAGACCATATCAAGAGTCTACTTGAGATGAAGAGCGTGATGACCCTTTTCTCCATTCCATACACAAAGTATTTCTTCAGTGTGACAGCAACTTCTATAGTTTCTAAAGACACCAAAAATGCATACTTCTGTTCTATAGCATCTTACCACTGCTTCCTGTCAAAGTACATGAAACGGATTTCTCCCTCTACCCAACAGAAGACTGGTCTTCATACTCCTTGATGCTGAACATTTTGGCTCCTTGGTGCACACACACAAATAGTTCTGGGACATATTTGAAGAGATTAAAGAACAAGATTATGAAACATGAGAATAAATATAAAGTTAGTTTATTTGGTCAAGGTTAAAAAACATTTCTATTTTTTACATCTTTTTTTTTAGTTTGTATTAGCTTTTATCTTCTGAATTATAACATTTAATAAAATTATTACAATTTTTCCACTCCATTTTCACACCCAAATTGAAGCCAACCTTATTTTTTTTTTCACTTCTGTTGGTCTTGAACCCCAGAAAACCCAATGAACCAATCAGCTCTCTCTCCGGTTGAGAGTTCAGATAATGAGAATCAGTGTCCCACTGCCTGAATTGTCCCAGGTCCCAGAGAAATTAAAAACCTCCTGACCCTCCCTACTTCACCCAAAATAGATTACCACCAGCCCAGTAACATTTTTAAAGGAATTGTTCCAGAGGAGGAGTCACACTGTTGTGAAGATTCTGTTTCAGCTAAAATACACTTTTGCTAGTTGTGAATTTGGAAGAACTGTATATCAGCAGGTACAGTGTGACCAGGTACTTTTGGGACCAGGTACTTTTCCCAAGGAGTGGAACCTCTGATGGGGCATTAGAGGAAAAAGGGGTTGGCCTCTGCTAAGCTGTTCCCATCTCCCACCCCACATCCTTCCTCCACTTTTGAAGGAGAGAATGCTTCTCTTCCCCCCTGGTTTCCTTGGATTCATTATGAAATAAGCTAAACTCCATCACCAAGAAGGCCAGGCAGATTAACATATTTCTGGCTGCTTGTTAATCCATTGCAGGATTACCAATGAAGTGAGTACTCCAATTGAGCTCAGTTGTAAGAGAAAAGTAAGCTTGCTTTGGGGTGGGGGAGATTACAGTTCTAGTACGACTCTACTGTGGTGCTGGAGATCAATGGGGCCGTTGAGTCTTGGCTTTCCTGGGGGCAGGCATAAATCACTCCCATCCATTCCTCTTCCTTCCTTGACGTGAGCTTGAGAGATGCCCTCCCCCTTCCACAGTGCCTGATCTATTGCAAGCTCCTGCCTATAGCTAGGCTTTATTTGTTGCCTGGATGAACACTGCAGTGGGGCTGTTGAGGGAGGCAGGTGCAATTTTGTTATGATCAACTCTTTCTGCCTGACTTCTCCCTCATAGGCACATTGGCTTGCCTCACTCCTACTGGGAGATCTGTGGGTATTCCCTTTGGATTTGAGGCATTACTGCTTCCACCCATTCTCTGCTAGCATTATCCTCTGCTATCCTGAGCCAGTTTAATGCTGCTGCTTCTGAAGCAATGCTTCCCTGCTCCACACAGGTGGGCAGACAAACAGACTGGCGTGTGCTGTTTCCAAGCTTTCTCAGCTGGACTTCATCATTGGAACTCGTAGCAAAAAAGTGGATGGCACAAGAATCTGCCCGTGATTTCTCTCATTCAACCATGAATATTATTATGTGGTTCAAAAAGCCTTTTATTGGCAGGGTCAAACTCTATAAAATGTGGTACAAAATGGCACCTTTTGTTTCTCTTGGGAGAGGCTTGTGATTCTTCCCTGAGCAAGTGATCCCCAAATCGTATTTTACGCTTCCTGAAAGCCATCACGGTTCATTGCACATTACTGACTCCATAGTTAATAATATTGTTCCACTTCCCTAATCTCTCAATATTTAAACTAATAGCATGGCCCAACTAGTGCCTTCTTACAGGAGGGCTCAGAGGTGCCTTTTCTGCATCCTTTGGTCTGACTTGAATTCTTGGATCTGGAGGTATCTGCATCCATGGCAGGACGAAGCCTTCTGCATCAGAGGTAAGGTGGGTATGGATGCTTGGGCCTACTGGCATGTTGCATGCTGTATGCCTTTGTGGCAAAGTGGGGATATGGGGCTGAAAAGAATGATATATGTCTTGAGATGAACCAGCTCCTGAGATAAAAGCTTGTCAGCAGATAGTGCTGGCTGAGGTAGTTTTTCTGGGCTGTGCTACTCACGCACCCCTTCTGCCAGCAAGGCAAGAGCATGGTCCTTTTTGCCTCTGAATTATTATCTTAGCTGGACATGAGAAAGACTGTAGTGTCCCCCATCAGGTCATTTCAGTCCCATATTTGACCATAGTTGCCAAGCTGAATAAATAGAGAAAGCAGACCAGACAAGCTGGACTGTGTAATGGAAGGCAAAGTAGTGATAGTCACAGTATGGCCATAAAGTCTGTATGTGGTGCCGCTGTGTGTGAAAATCCTGGACAAATGACCAGGAGGGAAGAGGGTCTTGGAAGAATCTGTCTGCAGAATCTAGTTCTTGTGCTAGCCAGCAGCTGCTTGGATTCTACCATAGCTCGTGTTGGGTTGCTTTGAGCCATGAGAAGATCTAGATCCAGGTCCTTGGGAATTCCAGCTGCTTCTGGAATATCTGCCTTACACAAAGTTGGTGCTCAATCTCCGTTGTGCTTCCTCATCCCACTCTATCCTGGCACCATACTCGTCACCTACAAACAAGACAGAAGAAGAAAGGAGAGCTATTAACCCAGCTGGCAATGCCAAAGGGCAGGATATATCTCCAGGCTGTGGTACACAGTTTATCTTCTGACCATAGTTAAGGCTTTCTGTTGTGTTTATACCTGTATGGCATCCATGCAACCAAATACGTTGTCCCTCATACTGGCACTGACAGCGAAGGGCATTGTTGGAAAAGTCAGATTCTGCTACCTCCTGCTTAGGGTTCACTATAACCTGCCAAAAAAAAGCGGGAGAGCAGAAGGGGAAAGGATGGCTTGTAGTTCAGGTTGCTTGCTCTCTTCTCATCTTCTCTGTGCCCCTTCCCAGTTTTAGTTTTTTAAAAAATCCATGACAAAGCAACTTACAACAAGGGCCAAATTTATGCCTTTCTGCTAATATGTCTGTGCTCAGACCAAGTCAGATTCCTTCCCAAACTTACCTGGAATATGTAACTCCCAGGGGGCACATCAGTGATATCTATCCACTGGCAGTCAATATCATGTCTGTATGTGTCCCAGCAGCCTACACTGACACCCTGCTCTCCAAAATTAGCACAGCCAAAACGCCGCTGCATTCCTATACGGAAGAGAATAGACTAAGTGGGAGAAAGTAGGCCTTGTGTCTCTCACAATAGGCTTCTGATGAACATCTGTAGCATTTTGTACTGTTCCCTTTTGAATGTCATGAATTTTCTCTTACCCTCTGGGCAGTTGGTGTCCTCCAGACAGAAACTGGCCTTGTGTCCCTCAGCCACCTTGGATCCATTGAGTGTCAATAAGTCATAGTGTGTGAAAACCTCAATGCTGTGGAAATGTCTGTGGGATGATGAAAATGAGGAATCAGAAAGCTACAATAGGTCAGGATAAAACTATGGCTTGGAAGAAACGGGCTTGTCTAGGCAATAGCCAAACAGTCATTCTTGCTACTTGTGGCAACGAAAAGCAAAGATCTGCTGAGCCATGAAACAAAGCAAAGTAGACGAATTAAGTGGGGCTTTTGGCTCAGTTGCTATTATAGCTCTTCATCCATGCTCAACCATAATGATAGCTTTAGCATAAACATTGCTATTTTCCCAGATGCAACAAACTGAGCTCCCACCATAAAAGAGCTGGCTAGGGTGGATATCTTTCAGTGGGATATGTGAGCTTTAACTTACAGGGAGATGAAAAGGCTAGGTTTAGAAAAGGAAAAGTCTGGATGTGATTTTTTTTTAAAAAATAAACAAAAATACCAACAGGAATTAACAACAGCTTTCCGTTGCAAAGTGCATCAGATAGCAATAGCACTTCATATGACGAAGAAGCACATATTACTGGCCATGCTGTGTCAAGAACTACCTGTGGCATTCATGCCATATCCATGCATGACGCCCAATTTTGGGAAGGAAGTCAGCCCGGCCCAGATTGTGAATCTGAGAAGAGAAGCGCAGCAGGCGTCGATACCCCTCTGGCCAGTTCATATGGTCAGCAGAGGCAGAAAGGCAGCCTTCCTCATGGGCACAATACAGCATGTTCAATGGGCGGTCCTCAAGATAAGCTGTCTCCTCTACCAGCTGGGCACTCATTACTAGATCTGGAGCATCTAAAAAGACAAGTGGAGCATGAAGTCTTAAACCCATACAGTGTGAATTCTAGGCCCATAATGATAGGCAGTTGATATCCCAGTCCAGTTACACCACATTCTCCAGATTTGTCCATCATATTATATCCCAAAGGTGCTTTTTCAAAAGGCAAGTGAACTTTCTGGTTTTTCGTTGAAGACGTTTTGTTTCTCATCCAAGAAGCTTCTTTATCTCATCTGAAGAAGCTTCTTGGATGAAAAGTGAAACATCTTCAAAGAAAAACCAGAAAGTCCACTTGCCTCTTGAAAAAGCACCTTTGGGACAACCATGACCTGGATGACTGAGAATCTCCATAGACACCATACTATATATTTTGCACTCTCAACATTTCTTTCTTCAACCTCAATATAACAATAAACAAATAAATAAATCTGTCTTTGCCCTAGGCAAAAAGGTGGCTCTCATAACTGCTGTGATGCCTACTATATGTAGCTGCTTTACTATATGTGATCCCACTGTCTTAGCTTTAAACACCCTCAGGCCAGGCCAGGCCATTCCTATTTCCACTTACTCTGGGTGCAGGTGACTCCTGCAACAAAACGGCCTCCTCCATTTGGGCAATGCACGGGTCCATGGTGCTGACATTGTAGAATAGACAGTTCTGTGCCTTTACAGCGCACACCACTCAACACCACCTCAGAAGCATCTGTATTGCCCTGCCAGTACCATGTTTCCTGGAATAGGAACAAGGGAGTAGGATCCAAGTAAATACAGGCTCTGAATTTGAAATCCTTGTCTTGGGGTACATAAGCTCCCAGGCTTCCTTTAAACCCTTGCCCAATCATGATTAACTTGAAAGCTTGGGACATCAGGTACCATATTTGCAACTGAGTAAGCAAGCCAGAATTGTGCTGGTGCACTCAGTACTTAACATTATGAGTCAATAACATAGGCAATCACTTACCTGGAGAGCATGGCTTGCAAAGCCCAGCCCCATCTGTCGACAAACAACCATGGCCTCCTTGAGTCCCCAGTGTTCCCCACACACAGCACCCCAGCGGAAGGCATTTCCTCTGGGCACCAGTACTTCTACAACACCTTCCTCTGAAGTGCGTCCACCAGCCAGACGGATCTGAATGGATGAAAACTGGCTTAATAGAACGGAAGAATAGTGATGTAATGCGATGCATGTTACAGGTGAATCCAAAACTATGTCGGCATCATTAGAGTTTTTGACAATTTGGATACAAGTTTCCTTAGAAATGCATAATGGATTGTATGAAGGCCATTCAGATTGGTCAAGTGGCAGTGGCTTTTTTTTTTTTTTTTTTTTTTTGCAGCCTGCCAAGTTGTGGTGCCCTATATTTTTCCAAGTAAGACATGGCCCCAACAACTTTTTATTCATTCCAAACAGTTTACTCTTTCTTAGGTCAGTTACACTTTCTCTTCTGAGGTGTTTAGCAAAAGCAGCCCATCTCCTTGTATTATTCATTTTTCTCCCGGTTTTGGTTTTTAGCCAAAGAACTGGATCTTACTTGACGTTGGACATTTGTTTGGGGCACATTGCAGCGGACAGCAACATCATTGTCATGCCGGCATCCTGTCTGAGCTGCTTTTTGGGACCTGCAGTCCATCAGTGATCGTTCATGTCCCCTGCACCGCACTCTTGTTAAATGGATAGGACCTAGGCCTGTAACATGAATTATTCTTGATAGGATGGAGTCCCATCACATTGCATGTCACACACGCTACACCCCAAATTCTTCCCCACATGCACAGTTATCAGTCTGATTCTTTCTCACTAGGGATACATGGATCTTCCTAGTCTCCATTCTTTTACTTTGGTCCCACAACTCAGTCTTCTCCAAATTCATCCTCTTTTTCCTATTCCTGAAATTTATCTCTGGTATTGCAGAACTCTGTCCCCCTTTCTGGATTTTGCTTGCTTCTGAGAAACTCCATGAAATGTTTCTTAGAAGTAACTTATCCAGAGTCTTCCTTCTCCTTCCATATTTATCAAGGATGCAAATTTCCTAATTCAAGCCTTATGCCACCCACTTTATGATTTCCCTCATCCCTTCCACTCACCTTGGCCCAACTGTGCTCCTGAAAGAGCTTCTCGTGCAGTGCCATAACCTAACTGCCGACACACCACACTGGCAGCAGGTAGATTCCAGCCTTCATCACACACAGTGCCCCACTGGTTACCTATTAGCACTTCCACACGTCCTTCACCTATATGTGCACCTGCACGGAGACGCACCTGGGCTTCCTTCTGGAATGGAGATAGAGATTAGGGACCAACAAACAGAAGGGTGGGTTAGTGATATTTATGAAAGATGGACTTTTGTTCTCTGTCAACAGCAAAGAGTGAAACCAGTAGGCTTCCATCTAAGGTTTTTAACTTGCAGTTCTCCTCTTTCATTCTTAACCTTTTATGAAAGTTCTAAGGCCACACAGATATCTTTCTGTAACTCTGGTCTTTCCACTGCTATTCTAGGATGGAACAACTATGGTATATACTATATAGGATTGATTCAGTGAAGCACTATGAACTCTTTGTCTGAAATCATCCTGACAGAGAATTAGACTGGTCCTTGCCCTAGTAGATCCTACGGTTTTGCTATGGTCAGTGCTCTTCACTGTGAATATTTTGAGCCTAATTGTAAAGATATATGAGCCTCTATTAATATTCTTTGGAAAATTGTCTTCTTTTTACCTGCTTAGGCTTGCTATGGCTGGTTAGCTTGGCTTTCTTGGGCTGGAATTCAGGACCTGCTATACAGCTGACCAAGGCATGCATACCATGTGGGCAGGCACTTTGATTCTGAGCTTTTGGAAGCACATGTAGTTTGCATTCACCCAAGTGAACCTCAGTGCCCAGGCATTTAATCTGATGGATCCAGAAGGTATTCTTCTTACTCAGTTTTTTTAGGCTGCAAAACAAGAGAAGAAATTATTGTCTTTTGTCAGATAATAATCCCTCTGGCGATCCTCCAGGCGGCTTTTTCCATGGCTGAATTGAAGTGCCATCCACCCATCCTTGAGTTCGCAGAAAACTGTACTAGCGTGAAATTTGCTGTCCTCACTTGCTATCCTGTTTCTATTGCCTTAGTTTCAAGTTACTGGAGTCACCTGACTTTGCTTCAAGGTGACAAAGCCTGGCAGAATTTATACAGCTTGAGTCAGTCCTTCAATGGTGTCATTATAAGGAAGAAAATAGTGCTTTAAAACTGACACATGACTTCAACCTGTCCCATTCATGGTTGGTAAAGAAAGGATGGCAACATTATTGGAACACAGCAGAAAAGGGCCAGGTAAATACCATCATTAGGCACAAATGGGGAAAGGCTTTGAAATTTGGTGAATTAACTGCTTAAAGGCCCAGGAAGCAATCATGCAAATAAATTCTAGAGGCTCCAGAATCCTCTCTTCCCAAATATTGACTACTGCAAGGCAATAAAAAATGAGCCCACTCCTTACCTGGACCTTGGATCCTTTAGTTTCTGATTCCAGAGTTTCCTGAAATAGATGAAATAGAAATTAGATGATCTAATATAAATGCACTTTGGCAGGAGCATTAAAAATTCCATTGCAGAAACGGTAGATACATAACTCAGATCCTTCACTGCGTGTTGAAATTTTTTTGTTGACAATTTTTAGATATATATATATATATATATATATATATATATATATATATATATATATATATATTAAAAGAACTCATTCTGAACTCTTATTTCCATGAATTACCAAATACACTGAAGTTATGGTCCTTCGTATTCTCATTTGTTCTTTTAGGAAAGGTGACAGCATTATCCACGAGAACTAAATTACCTAAAACCCCTGCCACTCCTGAATCAGTACCTGCACAGATGTTCTCATAAATAAACTGCAAGAGCTATGGCTATCATCATAGAAAAAAGAGAGTACTTGACGATGATGGAGACCAGAGCTTTAAGTACATCTTTACCTATGTGGTCAAGAAAAAAAATGTGTCCACAGATCCTGTTGGCATTCAGAGAACATGTTCATCTTCCTCAACCTGAGCACTCTGCCACTGCCCCATCAAACATGGCTGTGCTTGTGATCTAACACTTTGGGAGGACACCGCACCAAGTTAGGACAATCTAGATGTTGACCCTGGGGTGCTAGTCCCACAGCATTGAGGCATAAGCCAGAGCCAGAAAGTGCAGGTTCTGCTCAGTGTCTGAGAAGCGCAGTCTTCACTATATAATTACCCCACTGCGGTTTGGCTGGACCCCATGGTGAAATGGCCCTGGCATCCACAACTGCTTATTGCAGGACTGTATTTAGCAAGAGAATAGTGGGTGGAGTGTAGAAGATGGACAGAAGGAAACAAGCACATGGAACTACCAGTCTGTGGAGAGAAAAAGAACCCACAAAAAGAAATTGGACAGGCCTCTTCATGAGAAACAAAAGGAAATTTTAGACAAGACAAACAGAAACAGCCCTGTTTTCTTTACTAAAGAACGGCCTGATACTTATGCTGAGCCTTATGTTGCCATTAAAAGGTCGACCCTCCAGTTTATATTGATCTCTTTCTTCATCGCAAATATAACATTGCACACGTAGCCCTTGTACTTCTCACTCGTACCTGTAGAATCCTGTGGCCACCTGTCCGTCATAGGGGAATCCCAGCATCCCACACAGTACACGAGTATTGTTTCGAGTCCAGCCAGCATCGCACACCTGGCGCCAGCGCCCCTGGAGCTTTACTTCTACCGCACCTTCTGTGACCGGGGAGCTCAATTTGGCCCGGGCCAGTATCGGCTTGATCTGTACCTCTTCTACCTTTGAACCCTACCCAAGAGAAACAATGGATATTACTCCGTTCTGGGATTGCTGTTAATGAAAAGTGAAATCATCACATGCACATGCTCAGCAACGGCGCAGGGACAAAACCGGCTGATCTTCATTTCACCGTAAGATTACATTCCTACGGCCATTGATCTCAGCAGGGCTTCCAAATGTGCACACATAGGATGCTCCAGATTATCATTATAGAAAGGAAACAGCTCCAGACTCTAATCAGGTCCTCACCTGCAGCTGGATATGTGAAGCAGCAGAATTGAGTCGGCGGGGCCCTGTGCACACCACGCCGCTATCTTCATTGTGGTTGCAATCAGTCACCCCCCAACCATTGGAGGCACATTCAGCCAGGGAGCTTTCAGTACCTGAGCAGCGCATATTGTCCAGCCAGATGGGACCTGTAGATACATAAGATCAGAAGCAGAAGCCCTGGTTGCTCTTTTCAGTGTTTCATTTTCCCTAGCCTGATCTCACTGCCTTTCCTAGGAAATACCATACTATTTTCTGTTTATACTTTGCTAGTCTTTCAATTCAAACACCACTTGTAATATACATGGATCATTTTGAGAAATCAAGCAAATATTGTTACATCAGAACAAATAATTTTATTTCTATATCACCAAAAAGAACTTCTTGTTAGGTATATATTTGGTGAGGAATAGGAGAAGTGTAAGAAAATGGCGAACATCTGGATAGAGATCAGACTAGAGTAGTCTTCCCCAACTAAATACCCTCCAGGTGGAATACAATCCCCATCATTCCCCATCAGAACAGCTAATAACACTCGTATTCCAGTGTATCTGAAGAGCATACATTGAGGAAGGCTGGATTGGTGGACAAAAAAGCCCAGCAAATGTGAGAAATCTGGTTCCATGAATTCTCATCCTAAATACAAATGTATTTAATTTAATTTACATTAACTTAAGATGAGGACACTACGGCCAACACGTTACTTTTTATTAGACTTTGTCCCTATCTTCTTTTGGCAATGTTTGGCACTTACAGATTTTCACCTGAAGTTGAAGTGAGCATAGCCCAAAGTACCCACAGTATTGTAAGACCCCCACTTGTTATACAGAACTGTTTTGCTATTTCTTGATGGAAGAGAAGAATTATTGTGAAATGTGTGGGATGCAATCTCCCCCATCTTTCAATCAATGGTGGTTTTGAGCCAAGGAAAAGTAAAATCTTGCTGGTTCACATAATCCCAGTATTTAGAACAGGAAGATACATAGCCCACTTACTTGAAAGCTACTACAGACCTTAAAATCCTAGACCAACAATTTGAATGCTTTCATAGTAAATACCACCTTTATTAGTGAGTTTCCAGCTCTTGCACTGAAAATGGGTATCGCGACTCAGGTCTGCAAGCATTAAAAAGTACTTGAGATCAACAGCATTCTCCATTCCTGCCTGTCCTTACCATCTCCTGAGCCATATTTGGCGCTGTGAGCCCAGTTTATGGCCTGATCATAGCCCAGCTCTCTGCAGGCCACATTTGCCACGTGGATGTTGAAGTCATCATCGCACACTGTGCCCCACTGTCCTTTGTACAGCACCTCCAGACGCCCTTCACCTGCTTGGCTCCTGGGCCCCACCAAGCGCAGCTTAATTTTGGGGTGCTTTGCCCAGCTAGGTACTTGAAGACATAGGAGGAGGAAGAGGAGGAAGGTAAGAGGATACACCTGCAGAGGGAGCATCTCTGGTCCAGTGCTGGTGGAGACCCCTGGGAGGCAAGGAAATTTGATAAAGGAATATGGGAAAGGAAAGGGTCAGTGGCACTTCTTATCAGAGGATTCCTTGTTTTTTTTTTTTAAATGGACAAGACAATTTATAACAACAATATAAAAATAACCAGGAGGAAATGTTTTCTTTTTTAAAAAAAAATCAGCAGTAGCAAATAATAATGCATTGTAAATTATTCATTAAGCACTTAGCAATGTGGACTCATTTTAAGACGACCCAGGTTCTTTCCCCCCCCCCAACCTCACCAGAAGGAGAATGACAAAGGGGGAAGCAGGCATAGACGAGCCTGCCAAAGGCATAGCACAGCAGCCCAACCACCCACAAGAGTAGGATGGGACCTTGCCATCTCCTCCAGTATCCTGCCACATCAGTAGAGTGAAATGATTGGTTGCTTTTCTATATTTGTGACCAGGATTTTCTGAGAGGCTGCAGAGGATGTCCGATTTCTACCTGGACACACTGACGCCTTTCCATGCAAAGCACAGCTTATGAAGAGGGCACAGCCATGCAGGCACAAGTCCATCACCATCTCCCTGTGCCCACTGATCTCAATCTAACATACTTGACTGAGGGATTTGATTTCTCCATTCCACACTGCTGTGGACTGTGCTAAAGGACAAACTGGGCCCCTTCCTCTACATTCAGTGCCAGAGGAGCTCCAGGGGCACTTAACCAGGGCAAGTCAGAGGTGTAGAGTATTTTATCAGTATTTAGCATTTAGTAGCCTTTTTTAAACGGGGCTTTTTTTTCCCCCTTGGGAAGGGGAGGGGTATCTGTTTTACGATTCTAGCCCATCTTCAACTTTTGACTCAGTCCTTCCAAGTTAAAGAGATTATGTGAAAGCAGACGCCGCCCCCCACTCCCCAATTCCACCTCCCTGCGCCCCCAGACAGCAGCATCCAGAGTCGGGCTTGTAGTAACTTACTCACGTGCAGCCGCTGAAGGTGGGGAAAGAGCTGCTCTCCGGAGCCCGACAACTTCTGGTCAGCAGCTGGACCTCAGGGGGAGGGGGAGGCTGGTCGCCCGCTACAAAACCCTCTGGCTGACAAGAGACCCTGGCGAAGAAAGCGGCCAGCGCGAGTTTTGCCAGCAGCCCGTCCCGTCCCACCCTTTTTATCCGCGGCATCCGCCCTTCGGCTCTGGCTCCTGCACGAATCTGGGCAGGGCGGGCGAGCGCCTCACAGTACCCGAAAGGACGCCTCCCCCAGAGGGGTGAAAAAGGGGCCCCCGGCCCCTCGGCTTTTGGGTATGCCCGGGCAGGCTTCTCTTTCCCCCCCCCATCCCTCCCCAAAGAAGCCGCAGAACCGCAACAATAACGCGATCCTATCGCTCTTTACCGGGTTCAGCAGGCTTCACCTGTTGGGTTTCTGCAGTACTTAAAAACGTTAGCAGCAGGAAGGGCAAAGAGGCATTTTGCAAGAGGAAAGGGTAGGAGCAACGTTGGGTAGGAGGGACGGTTCACATTTCAAGGATGGAAGATTTGCAGGATGCAGGTTCCCCGATGGGTGGCCCTCAAATCGGGGACCTCATGGGCTGATCAGGCCCATCAGAAATACAAAATGGATGGTGAAAGGCTCTGGCAAGGTTTAGAAGATGAAGAGGCGGCCTTCCAAGACGCAGCCACCAGATCTGAACTGCGGAAATCTAGATAACCCCCAGAGGACATGAAGCACTACCCTAATGGTTTCTGTACCTCTTTGCTGCCACCTAGGGGTCATCTGGATCCTTACGGCTCTGATTCGGTGGATCCGGTGAAGTGCTTCTTTTCAGCGACGCTCTTGCACCCAAAGAGTGTCCAGCGCTTTGCATTATGGTCTGAAACAGCTCCACTTCCATCTCCAACTGCAACTCAATAATGGAGGAAGAAAGTTGTTTTCAAAAACCTGTGGGAGTGTCTTGTTCCTCTATGTCGCTGGACGATGTGTGGACTTCAACTCCCAGAATTCCCCAGCCAGCTGGGGAATTCTGGGAGTTGAAGTCCACACATCGTCCAGCGGCCAAGGTTGAGAAACACTGCTCTATGGTCTTTTCAATGGATATAGTCCTTAGTTTGTAGTAGTAACCTGTAGTGGTCCATTCCCACCATCACCATCACCACCACCTGCTTTTCTGGTGACTTACAATGTTGTGCAATGTTCAGCCTGTTTGTTACATTATTACTTACTGGATAAATTCAGTGTCATCGAATTCATGTAAATACTTATTCTCCTTAACAAAGAAAGTTGTCATCTGTCATTGATTTTTCTTTTCAAATTATATCTTGCCCCATAACTGAGGAAGTCACACAACTAACACACAATAGATATATTTGAAATAGGTGTGAACTCTTATGGATTTGTTTTTGTTTGATCCTGAACATGGAATGTGCACACTCTGTAGCATAGCAATGATAGCTGTACTTCTTCGGAAATTGGAGATTGGTCACTAGACAGTTAAGAGCCACTAAATAAAGGATCTGAGAACACTGCTATTCTTTGTTTAGTTCTTGCTAGCAACTTTCTTCTTTATGCTGTTGTTCGGTATGAACAACTCATCTTCAACAACAATAAAAATTAATCACAATCTGTACTACAATCAATCTTGAAAAGAATTATTATTCCGCTGAAAGGAGTGGCTATCATTTGAACCATGGTTTGCATTTCTCAACCAAAACCATCAAAGATGATCCATGGCATCTGTTCTGTATCAAGATGAAGCTTGTTTCTTTTTAAATGCATTGAGAAAAACTTGAAGAAAGAAAAATGTAGACAGCTCTGTCATCTCCAATCCAATCAGAGCCTGTATTGCCTTAAATAGAACCTGTTTAGGATAAGAAGAGGCCATCATGCTATCCTTCAAATATTTTAGCCCCCATGTTCATTCAGCCTTATCCAGAAAGGCCAGTTCAAGGAATTACTTGAGTTATAGTCCAAAACATCTGGAGGCTCCTAGATTGCCTACCATCCCTTTAGCGCATGTACTGTTGGTGCCATCCTTTCCAATAGTACCACCAGGAAAGGGCTCTGAAATAGATGTCCAAGCAAAATAAGCAACCCAACAATTTTTTGGCAGGCTTACTGAGATAAAGTCATAAGCAACCATCAGGATATTTTGGTTGTGTTTGAGTTAGTATCATGGGCAATAATTGGATATTTCCATGATGTTACTGAAATGTCACAAATGCATCCTAGCGTTAAGCAGAGCTTTTTAATGCTTTGCTAACATAAACTGATTTGCCTATGATGAGTAGAATTCTCCTTAATTGGTATATTAAAAAATATCTATCCCACCCACAGCAAATATGTCTCTGGAAAATATGGTTAATTTCCCCCAATTTTCAGTTTCTTGGAGGTGGTAGTATTATTGGGTGCAACAAATATTTTTAACGTGCTAAGAATATGTGTGGTTCAGTGGCAAAATGTAAACTTTGGATGCAGAATATTCCAGGTTCAGTTTCTATAATAATTTTGTAGGCATATTCAAGTCTCTTCTCAGATTCTCAGAGAGCTATTCTCAGTTAATGTTAACCATGGGTAAATGTGTCCTGTAAACATGGATACATTTAAGTTCTTTTTGCATTGAGGGATTTTCTGGTTATCCTGCTAAGTGAAGCCCTAAATTTCAGGTCTGACATTTTGCTTTAATGGCATTGCTGCCTATTCTCTGCAGGTTTCTCTCTTTTTAGGATCAGGCAAATGATCAGGCTGTAGCCACTACACCGCCCTCAACCTGCAACCTGCCAGATGAGTCAGTCTTGCTCCACATTCCTTGACCTTGAGTTCGTCCCACAGCTCCCTGTAATCCAGTTCCACCTTTGCTGTGATTTGTTGGACTGCTGACTCCTCCAAGTAGCAACACATTCGCAGCACCTCCTGGACACCTGCTACTGGCTCATATTCTGTGGCCTCATCCTGGCAGTAGCTGCTCCCTCCCCACTGCCCAGTGGAGCAACGAGCAGTAAACAGGAAGCTTGTTGCCTTGGCTGTAGCCCGCATCCCAGGCAAAAATGTGCTAGTGGCAACTGCCTGTTTGCTTAGAAATTAAAGAGTAGGTTGCTGACATGAAGAGCCGGACGGAGAGAGGGAAGTCTCAAAATAGCCCTGAGCTCATCATTTTGGCAAGTCCCTTTCTCTCTCTTTTCAGGGAAAGACCCATCTGGGATGAATAATTTTTTACCAGTCCCAAACTGTGCCTTCCAACTTGAGTTCCCATAAATGGAGTTAGCCCCACCAATCTGCAGGGCCCAGCTGAGCGAAGATGCCTTATAGGATGATGCCAGGGAACTTCTTGACTTTTTTCCTGGTGAAGTCTCGGGGGCTTCTCTTGTCAAGTCAGAGCCCAGCCACACAGAGCTCTCTCTGCTTCTCTCCCCAGCACATGGCTTATGAATAAATGATGTCAGGGGACTTAGCAATTGCCAAAGTACCAGATTTTTCCAAATGTATTACTATGACCCAGAGCAGGCAAATTATGATCAATGGGGCAGACTGAATCATGAGAAGAGCTGTTACCTTCCCAAGAACCCTGGAAGGGCAGCTTGTTTTCAGGACACAATGTCAACTCTGGAGAGATTTGCCAGGGCAAACCAGCGCATGGAGATTTGTAAATATTATGGTTCCCTCTCCTGATCGAACTGAGCCAGCACATTTCTTATAATCAAAGGCCCAACCTCTAGGTGTGATTTGAAGCATGGAAAAAATAGAGTAGATTAATCAAGTTCAAAATGACACTTTAATGTACTGTAACTGCTTTCACTTCATCACTTATTTATCTAAATAAAATTTGTTTAACACAACCTTATCCAAATTGGCAGCTTTCAAATGGGATTGCAGTCCCCAGAATTCCTGTGCTGAGTTAGCGCAATTAAGTTAGTAACTTAGTTATAGTTAAATTTGGAAAAAAATCGAGGAATGCAAACAGTATCCATTGCTTTGTAATTCAAGGAATTCAAAGCTCAGTTCTCTCCTGTCCCCCCAAAATTATGAGACAAGTTACTCTAAGTGAAACTAACTGGTCCAATATTACATTGAGAGCTTTGACAGTAATTTTAGATTTGATCCATAGTCTTTCAACTCTTGGCCATATTTTTCCTGATGGTATGTCCAAAAAGTTAGATTTTTTTGAATAAACAAGGGGAATAATATAAATAAAGGAAGATGTTTATTTGGGAATATTAAAAAAATCTAAAATTATAAATACTTTAGTTTACTTGTGCTTACAATTAATTTCAGAGATAGAAAAAAAATGCCAAAATGTATTATATTCAATGTTACAAGAAGACATGTTTATATAGCATTTTTTTTCTCCTCTTAGAATGAGTGAGAGGAATTTTGCCCACTGCTGAGTTAAATTGCTTTCCATCCATCCTTGAGTTTCTAGCATAAATCCAGCATAAAATTATACTCCATTGCTGATCCCTATCCTGCCTCTAATGTATTCCAAATAATGCTGTCCTGATTATGTATATGCTATGCAGGCAATAGTGATGGCCGACTCCTCCAGCTTTGCCATCCTCCTTTTCAATATGCCATCACACAGGAAAAACATCTGCCACCCAGGGCCCTGCAGCAGAAATTGGCTGGGTCCAGCACCAGGATTTTGCCAGGATCTCCAGACGGCATCATCTGCTGCTCCCTCCTAAGCTCCATTCTGTCATCATAAAATCGAAAAAACAAACCAAGTATCACAAATGGAGTCAAGTTGCTGGCAGAGGTTGTAAGGGAATATCACATTCATTTGAAATTTATCTCCCCCTTCTCTCCTTTTTTTACATAGTAACGGTTCCTTTGTGTTCTGGAAGTGAATGCAGAAGGGGGAAAGAGGGAGGGCAGCATTTCACTCTTCCTATTTCAGTCTGTTACACTATTTCATGTTATATTATTTGGGCAGCAGCAACATATCAAGTAGGCTTCATGTTTTGTGTCCAGGGAGTGATTGGCAGAAGACTCTGACCATGAACCAGCAGAAGAGGGATGCACCTGCATCAATCTGGATAATAAGCTCTTTCTGATCACTTATTCTACTATTCACCTTCCTTTGCTTCCATGTTGCAACTGGAGAATTGTAACAGAAAGAACACGTCTTGAGGAGGAAGCTGGACGTAAGCCTGCCTCACTGGTGGACTGGGAAACAAGATGAAGGCAACGTGGTAGGGATGAGTGAGAATGATTGTTGTCAAGGAATGACTATCAAGTACAAGTAGGGACAGAAATAATTTCTCGGTTCAGGTGTATTCGCTGAACTTAAAGGGACGTCCTTTTCTGAAAAAGTGGAAGGTTCTTTTTCATGTCTTGGAGATCCATGCATATCTCACAGCACCTTGTTCTTTAACTAAACATATTTGGTTGGGGGGAGGAGGCGATTAGAAATAAGAATTATGGTGCAGCAGCAGGAAACTGGGGAGGGGGCTGAGGTTAATCT